GTGGCTTTGGGAATCCTAAATGAATCTTCCATGCAAATTAAGCACTGTAAACCATAGCAATGCCAGGAAAAGAATACCATAAAATATGTGTTTACATATACTTAAATCTGAGAACGAAATTTGGTTATTGAGGATAAAAAATTACTATCAAATATAACTCCTCATCATTGTCTTGAATATAACAATTGCAGTTCATAGATAGCACTGAAAAAATCTCTTATGGGCTGAAAGAAACAAAACAATGCCGTGAAACTGCAGTTACGTATTATCAAAGCAACGCTTGTATATTATTCGATGATGCAAACCGTTGGAGTAAACTATTAAACCTTTTCAATGAATGTGTCTCAGTTTCAAACAGTTTCAAATCAGAAATAAAACATCGCCTAAAGCTGTTTAATCGTTCATTCTAGAGACCTTCCTATCAAGTGCCATCTGATAAGCATTTTAACTAACAAGACATTTTCAAGATCGTGAGAGACATCTCCGAAAAAGTTTGTTTGCTTTGACAGAAACAGACGAATAACATATTCAGGCAAGCGGAGACTGGTACGGATAATCACTTAAAAATAAATTTTCGTCATTACATATCTTTCATTCGTGGTTTTCTTACGTTGCAAAAGATCCGATACCAGAGAATTTATGTGTTTTGCAAACGCGTTGCGGGTTATTTATAGAAAATGCATGTCGAATACAACATGTATGTTGTATAATTGTCAAATGGCTAAAATAGACAACAGTCTTTGGCAGTTTTCTTCAAGTTAAAAGACCCAAATCAGTATTTATATTTAAAATATAAAGAAAGCAACTTGGATATTTCAAAAGTATAAAATCAATAGCAAGGGAGAAACACTGTAATGGTTACGATGTGGAGGAAAATCACATTTTACCTTATCATGAGTTGGGAGTACCATACATATGATTTAATTTGAAGTAAAGTTACCGTTTTGGGGGTTCGTATTATAAAGTGTAACTAATTTGATTCAAGCATTCTTATTATCATAAGAAACGAAAGAGTTAGTTGTAGAGACGAATCTGTCTGCATGTATATATCTTTTTTAATATCGAAAACGAGATTTTATGGAAGATTTTGATGAGAACAATATAGGCGATTCAGATTAAAGTTTCAAGTTTTTATTAAATATGTCTTTCTTTTGTGAAAACTACGAACATAAATAACAATCTGGTTGGCTCATCAAAGTCCAATCAAGGTCTCCAACTTGCATTGCCAACATAATTACAGTCTATACGCTTAAGGAATGGGATATTAAAGGAAAAGCCTATTTAATTTTTGCTAAAATGTAATTATAATTTTAATTATTTCCAAAAAGACGAAATATCTTCAAATCCTCTTCCATAAAATACTGAATCTGTATAATTGCTCGATATTCTGACAATTAGGAAATTAATATATTATGACGATGAATTATGAATATTAATCCTATTTCGGCTTATTATACCGCAGTTATAACTAACTAATTATTAAAACTATTTTCCTAAGCGACAGGAAAATTAATTAAATGGATTTTACCTAAATACTGAGAATTGAAAAAACGCAAAGGAACGAACTTGCGGGGTAGCCCTGGTTGGTTCTCTGTTATTAGAATTTTTCCTCAAACTATTGTGGAATTAGGTGTATATATCTTTTACAATGTACTATATCAAAATAGTAACAATAACAAATAATAGAAATTGTTTTATTTTGATTTTATATGACAACGCTAGTAATTGTACACTAAATTTTCAGTAAACAACTAAAATCATGTCCGAAAACCAGTGTTTTGTTTTATGCCGAATATTTATGAAATAACTATTTTTACGGCAGACAAATGAATTTGTAGTACTTATAGTGAGTATAGAATTATGATCAAGTTTTGTCTTCTATCATCAAAAATGGGTATGGTTGAAAAATTGCTTATATTGTGGCCTCATACATTGAACATAGAAAAATGTTCAAATGGAATGATGCGTCATATCCAAATTCGTCGGTTCCATATGAATCGTGCTATATAATTGAGTAGGAAATGTTAACACGATACTACGAAACTATTACGTTTATCAGAAAAGGCTTTGAAACTTGTATGCGATGTTTTACTATGTATTGAATTGAACTTAATGTGTGGTGTTGCGTTCTAAGATTCGGCTTTAAAATCGCGTTGGCTACGTTACGTCAAAGCGTGATATATTTTATTGTAGATGCATAACAATTGCATTCGATTAATAATTGCATTAAATCAAGTTTATTCTGAAAGCATTCACAAAGGAAAGATGTTATTATATTACTTCTGATTCATCCTGATTTATACAAAGAAAATTGTTTCCGCTAATCATATTATATATATATATACAAAAGTATTACCGCATTGAAAACTCGTAGTAGCGAAATTTCGAAAATAATGTTAGTTTTATTCACTGTGTTATATTCCTCACTTGACAAATAATTTCGTCATAGTTTCGACATTGAAGATAAAACAAAATTTGTCATTTTGAAGAATCTGGATTTTGATTAGAAGAAAAAGTTCCACTATAATTGAAATTATTTTGCCAATATAAATCACATGTGTATATGCAACTAAAGCGTTGCAAGTACTGCATTCCTCGTAGGTAATATAGAAGTGCATAATACTTACTAGTCGGTTTTGAACTTACATTTGATTAGGGCACAACATGTATAATACACACATTTGACTATAGATGCTGTGAAGCAATATTACATTCTAGAGACTCGATTTATTACCACGATTTGAAACATTGTAAACCGTTAACGACGAGACAAATTTGGTAATTGAAGATTTTTGAAGCTTTAAAGAGAACCAGTGTGGCAAGTAGTGACATATTTAATATTGGAAACTATTATTTTTATGATTTATATTTTAATTTTATTGTTTCAAAATAATTAAAGTCAAATTATAAAACCGTTTGAAAACGCCGCTTCAGTTATTTCCCATCAATAATAAAAGTTAAATTTTACGAAGCAGGAAGGAGATTAACAAGTACTTTCCATGTTCGAATTTGTTAATTATAAATTTTGAAGTAATTGGTATCAAATCAAGCATGGTTTAGATTTGGTCAAGCATGAAAAAAACTAAATATCTAATAAACATTGGTGTGAATAGTAAACAGGTGGGTCCCATTTACCTTAATTAATATCCAGCGTATTACGTCATAAATGTATGTCGTGGTCATAAAAGAAAACGGACACGCCATTTTGTTTTATAATTGCAACTGAAATTATTTGACGTTTGGCATGCGATCATTATGATATATGTTTAGTCGTTGTCAAGCATGGACAAATTATGTATCAGGTGTAGTTGTGCGATAAAACTCACTCGGTTGTGTGTAATTAAATTTATCTTCCCTGACATGCGAATATAAAATGATTTGTATACGTAACAATTGGATGAGCTAATACACAAAAATGTTTGTAATGTCAGTTCATGTGGAGGTGAATTATAATGTTATGTTCATATGAATAACTTGAGTTTTAAATAAGGTGCTCTCGTCAAATTTGAAGGGACTTTGAAACTTGGTACAAGTAACTTGAAAATAGATGGAATTTTACGATATGCTTCAAAAAAAAAATTGCATGCAGGTAATGTTTTTGAATGGATATTGACTATTCAAGCATGCGTATAGTCTAGTTTTCAGCAACCTTATTTTCTGTCTTTGAAAACTAGTTTTTTAAATTAATTTTAATCAAATACTCATCTCCGTATTCTCATGCGCTATTGGAATTCTGTTACATATTTTATTTTCTGGATATCTTACGATTTTAAATATAGTCCACAACATTATTTCACTTGTCTATGAATGAATATTGCTTGATTATTTGATACTGTCAAACCACTTATCACAAGCCCTTGATATTATATATATTTTAAATTGTCAACAAATGATATCGACACCCTAAAAAATCGTGCATTAAGTTTACATGACCAAAGCAGCGTCCGTTGGATACTAATTGAAAATTTCCTGTTTAATGTTAAAAGGACAGATTGTCGACCTCAGATAAAAATTTAATTCAAGAATAGAACCTTCCATGATAACTTTATTTTTAAACATTTTAATTTTATTCAACGTGTCGTACAGGGTTCTAAACTTGGCGTTCATCTGTTTGTGATTTAGATATATATTCCAAATGTTTATGTTTTAGCAAAGAGACTCTGTTTGTGAAAAACTTTTGAAGGATTAAAAACAAAAACAACATTAATCTTATCGTAATATGTTCGGGAAGTAAATTAAAACAAAACGACTTTTTAAACACCATAATAATGAAAGATTATACGGTCAGTATAGAAGCCATCATACATTATTGTACTTCAATTTGTACTGGAATGATTAACTTCTTGTATTCCGTATTACACGATTAGTATAAATATAATAACTAAGTTTGACAAAGGTATAAATAGAAACGTTGGCAATTATTTGGTGAACTTGCGCACACGAAGCAATTAGAGACCATACCTTTTAGAGGAAAATGTTCAACGAATAACAATTATGGTGATTAGAACATCATTTTCCAGAAGGTCGTGAATCGTGTTACGGTCACCGTGACGAGAGACGACATGTTAATGTTTGAAAGGACGTTTGTCATTTGTCGAAACATAAACCGGGTAATTAAATATCCATACAGTTAATATAATTGGCGTGTCATTAATTCTTGAAAGGAAAGCGAACGAGGGGAATATGATGCAGGTTGAGCGATTTGATAATACGTGTAGGGTCATAATTCAATATCTTTCTCGTTTTTCACTTATCTCTCTCTTTACGTCGCACGAAAGAAGGAAACAATTATTTTACGTCAGCGAGCAAGTTAGCGCTCTTTTTCTTTTTGTCACCGGATTTTGATCTCTACATAAAAGAAATTTTTGTTATAATTTCACGCATTCACAAAACAAAGATGTAATATGAAGGAACTTTGTAGTGGCCAGTTGCTATTGGCGTTATATTTTAGTTAATAAACTTGCCAGCTAGTCTACAGATTATGCACCTAGATTTGGATAAGTTCTTTTCTTGTGATGATCGATACGTCATTTTTAAAATTATTTTACAGTTGCTGGTAAATATAACATTAGGAAATAATCATTTTATCAGCACCAGATATAACAATATGAAGCGCTCAATCCTCGCAATGGATTTGGTTGTCTTTATTATTGCTTTGGCGTTTGCAAGTGAGTATTCAAACTTTTTGTTTTAGGTAATTTTAGATGCTAAATTTGTTTTTTAAAAGTCTAAAATTTTTAGCGACAATCGATGAAATGGTAATGTTTGCTAATGCTATGCACTGACACGTGAAATCACAAAAATAACTTGCGATTGAAAAATAAAATCTGTAAAATTCAGATTCTTTAATAGTAATGTTCATTCTTTCACTAACTCCAACCAATAGCTATTAAGATAAAGATTTTACTCGAATAACTTACGTTTCTATGTATTATATCATGATAAAACGTACTTTATAGAAGTCACAAAGGCCTCAGAGTGCAGTACGGGCAATTATCCAAGAACTGCATGTGAACTGCATCAATCCCCCGATTATTTTGAATGTACAATGTTGATGGGCTGTTGTTGGACCAACGATGGGACACCCAGATGCTACAAAAAAGGTAATGAATCTGATCGTTTACTTGGGAGTGCAAATTTGGCATAATCAGTTTATTCCGAGTTGACCTGGTACTTTTTAATAAGAACAAACTACAATCTTTTAAACAAATTGATAATATCTTAAAAGAGATTTCTGAAAATTTCAGTTTTACTCATACAAAGCACTGTTTTGATGATGAATTTAGCTCTATTAATAAATAGTATAATATGAATAATTCAGCATATATCAAAAACATATTTCGTATTTGAAATTAACGGAAGGCATAGCGTTCAAATATTAAAAACTATTTTCTTATGGAGATCACTATTCAGTTGATATTATCAAAAAGTTACGGTATTTCATTATATTTCATTTTATATTTTGCAAATTTGAGTTGGAATTGTCTACTTGGTTAACTATATTATTTCAAGGCGTTACATTGCCCTAAACTCAAAAATCTTTAATTTTTTTCGTTGAAGAACATTTTCACTTTTATAAAACTGTATTATTAAAAAAAAATCAAATCAAAGCACCTCCGCCGCAGCAAAGTAAGTATTACCAATAATATTTATGTTCACAGTATGTTTTCGGAATCATAATAAATTACTCAAATATTGTTATTCAAAAAATTGCCTTCATTCAGTGCAGGCATTTGATGATCGTATGAGAAAAAGTCTGTCTGTTATAGATAAGATCATTATACGTTATTTTAGTAAGCTTAAATTTGTAATGTTATGGAGTCGTTTTTTATCATTTTATCAATTTCAGCACCACAACAAGCACCGCAAATACCTCAACAACCGCAACCGCAACCACAACCACAACAACAACAACAACAACCACAGGGAAGACCCTATTTTGTTGATACCACAGTCCCGCCATATCAAACTCCATACCCCGGTAAGATATTTCAAAATTGACTTGATAAATAATGTAATTTAAGATTGATACTTTCTAGCATTTGTCCTTCATAAATTAAATAGAATTGCATGGCGAGATGTCTGGGTTTCAGTTAAATTTACCCAACTTAAACTAATAATTCCCATTCCAAAATACAAATTCTGTCGTTTATTACGTAGCCTTTATACATTAAACTATACGTTTCAGGAGCTCCAAACCCATACCAACAACAACAGCAACAACCACAATATCAACAACCTCCACCATACGGTGAGAAAGCTATGTTTTTATATTTAAGTGTTGCCAAAAATATACCAAAAAAGTACACTACCTTTTCTTTTGTTTTGGACGATATTTACGATCAGTGTTATCAAAATAGAGCAAATCATAACTAGAAGAGATTTGATAATTCTGATAACAAAATTTCAACTTTGAATGGTACCTTATGGTTAGATAAAAAGGTGCAATCAGAAGTAAAAATCAATTTCATAACACGTGTTTAAAACGTTATAGTGCGACGTAATACTATCTCATTGTGGTTGCTTGGCACTTTGTGCTGTGTACGTGGAAAAACTAAATTTTTGTGTGGCTCAGCTAGATTTCTGAGATTGGGGTTATATGGCCCACCGACAGAAAATGTTGCACACCCCTGCTTTAAATCAATGTAATTTTTAGATGTACAATATCATTTTACAAAAGTGGACCATATGAAACCTAATTTCATATTTTTTCCAGGTCAATGTAATGAAATTGTGGTACAAGACCCACAGGTCATTAAAACATGCAATGGGAATTATTACGGAAGCCAATGCAAGTAAGGATATTGTAAAGCAGGATATTATATTATAGATTTCACATCACTCGTGAAATTTTTGCCGTCTATTAATTTTCACGAATCCTACTCCATATGCTGGCTTCAACCATTTTCGTAATTAAGTATGATTATTTTAACTTAGTCACCTCTATTGGAGGACCATGTTTTAATTGTATTGGCTTTGGAAATTATTTTTCTCCCAGTCAGTCCATGAAGCGGAAGATAATAAGTGAAAAGCAGCAGCCGAAGATTTGAGAGTCATTCCAAGTTGCAATTATCAACATGCAATCATTATCAATTGGGCCGAGGGTTGATGATGTCCGCAACGGCTCCACATTAACATGCGTTCACTGGAATTTATTTATGTATCCCTATATTTTCTCCAGATTTACATGTAGAGCAGGGTGGAGAATGTACATGGGAACAGGCACCGAGACAAGAACCTGTCAGAGTAATGGATATTGGAGCGGCAAAACACCAAGCTGCAGCAGTAAGTTACAACTCAACTAAATATGCTGAGTGATGCTACTTTCAGAAGAGGGCGCGTAAACATTTGATTCCAGCTTTAACAAACAAAGTTTTATGAAAGCAGATCTGAACAGATTTTTACACTAAAATTTTTGACTGATAAATATGCAAATATTTATATATGAATTGATGCTGATACTTTCAATTTAAAGTCTTTCAAAAGTACTGAAAATTTGCTCCAATATGTCATCATACATGGGTTAACCGAATAATAACTATTACGTATTTTATTATACTGTCATGGAAACTTTATAATCTGGCTATACTATTATAATTATAGCATTTTATGTTGAAGATCGTCGTCAAATAGTTGCGCAAAATAGAAAATAATTATTTGAAACTTTTAATTGGATATAAGTGATCGAACTTGTTCTCTAGAAAGTAATAAAAATTGCTAGTTTGTTTCCAAGTAAGTTTATTTTAGGGAATTCTTATCGTCTGTAACATCTCGACACGTCTCTGACGAGCCCTAGGCTACATCACAGTGATCAAATTTAAGTGTATAAACTGTAAATGGAGAATAGAGGAATTTTATTTCGACACAGTGTTAACTATAGAAATAAAATAACAATCAAAGATTACTCGTCTTCTCGTATAACTTCCAGACGACTCGAATTGCTGAAATACTGATTATGACTCGGTATTGAGTCAACTTTTATCAGAGAACAAAAACGGTGTCGTCAAAGTTGATAAAACTATTGCATAACATTACAACCTCTGACAGATTTCTGCGCTATGTAAGAATACTCAGCAATATTGTAAGTTCTTTATCAACTTTGTTTCAGATCCTCCAATGAACACTGGAAATCCACCATTTCCGTTTCCCCCACAGCAACAACGGGCTCCAAACAACCCTTATCCTCAACAGTATTATCCAAACAATCCCCAAAACAACAATAATGGATACCCACAAACCAACTATGGGGCACAACAACCGACTTATACTCAGTCAAGTAAATATGGATTTTCATTTTACTTCATACAACATTCCTTTTTGCTCATTAGGTAGCAACCGATGGCTTCCCAACATTAAAATGATCAAACTTAATTTATCCAGTCAGTCGTCCCGGATCTTTGTACAAAGCAAAAGCTACTAATGCAAAAATTTGAGATTTGAGGAAAACACCCCCACGTTTTACTATAATATAACCTAATACAATATAGTTCATTCTGTCAGTTATTTCGGATCGTTTGCACAAAGCCCCCGCCACTAATGCAAAAACCATTGAATGTTTCATCGCAATATGCATTCCTAACCCTGATCCTATAGCTGGAAAATATTCTTATTTTGAGAGTTGACGGAGGGGTGTTTTTTAGCGGGCGATTTGTAAAAAAGATCCGTTTTCTCTGCCGTATTTGAATCTTAAGTATTAAAAACCCTTATGATAGATGAATTCAATAAGCAATTTCAGTATACGTTTCTATTTTGCATTTTCAGGGCCGTCATCTGGTAATGTTGGCAAGTTGTTCGAGACACTCGGAATAACTAACCCGCCACCTACCTTCAACAACAACAACAATAACGGAGGTAATTTCTTATATTTCACACTTTCACAGCCTCTCAGCAATCGAAAAATATCGGTTTTTGCACTGAGTCCAACCTTTCTGGTACGAAAAGCTCAACATTTTACAATTCTGACATTGCGAAAGAAATTAAAGCTGATTAAAATCTTAATCAGTTTTGTTTTCTAGATAATAAAACAATGGTTAATCGATCATGCAATCTCGAAATGTCACAACCTGCCAAATCCTTAATAGTTAGGCCTATATATCGAGTAAAACATTGTGAAAGCTTGTAGTCACACTTCAAATTTAAAAAACATTTTGGACTTTTCAATGCTCTAGACTCGACTAAACCTGCATCTTACATTGCGCTAATCTGCCGAGCAACAGTAGTTTCAAGTATTTAATTTTACAGGACAAACAGGTGGGGGAGCTCTTGGAACCAGTGTTTCAGCACCATCCGGAGGTAGCAATGAGAAGATCGGTGATTTTCCAATATGTAGTGTTGTGGCCAGCTTAGAGGACCCACAGGTAGCGTAAACGTAGTCGTCTGCGTCACAATCATAATGTTAGCCGTTATGTTTGAGGACTATAGATTTATTCAAGCCGTGTTAAAATTTTTGACAAAATGATCACGGTCATTGAGTCAATTTTTGGAGTGCATGGGTCATTATTAGTATCGTGGAGTCGTCCTAAATTATTTTGACTATATACATCCCAACGCTATCATCCTATTTTCACTCGGAATCCTGTTTGAAAAACAGTTTGACCACGAGTTCAGCTCTCGAGTTTAAATTGAATATTTCTCTTTTATACTATCTTGTTATGTTTCACAATTTTGGGTCAAACGTTAAGATTAATTTTAAGATTAGTTTCAAAGAAAAGCAGCAATATGCTTAATTTACCAAGCAAAATATACCTTATTATTTTTGTCATTTTAAATAGGTGAAAAAAGATTGGATGAAGAGGCATTCATGCTCTGGAATGGAGCCAAAAATTGACAAGGATGAAGCGAATCAATATGTAAAGAGTCTTTTTGGTGTAAGTAATTGACTTTTTCGAAATTGCACGGATGAGACCTAGATGTTACTAAATCTACTGATAATAGGGAATTAAATGTTATTTTTTGTTTCAGTGGAATGAACAAATGGTAGTGTTAACAATTATGATAATGGAAGAAACCATAATAATTTTCAAAAAACATAAATAACGTATTTGACTCAGATAATAGCATTTTTTAAAGTCGTTAACTCTTTTAAATTTAGAAATTAATACTGACACTTTTCTGCAGTATTTCTAGTTTTAAATTTAGAACGCAAAATTGACACGTTTCAGCAGTTATATTTAGAACATAATAAGTATAGTTAAATGACTTCACATATGCTTCATATAATCGCTACAAGAATGTCTTTCTTCAAAGAGATTTGTTAATAGAATAGACATGAAGAATCCCTAACTCTTATAAGTACACTATCATTACAGGGACTCATAGACCTAGACAGTACGCCTAAACCACCAACAGGACCTGTTGGATCAATGATACCGAGTAAGTCGAGCGAATCATTAAAATAAATTTATCCTTTTATACCTGCATGATAGCTGCCACTCATAAACAACTTACTATATAGTTTTAGCAATTAAAAATTGCTAAATCAAAATCAAATAATTACCCTCTTAACCATAGCACGTTACAAATTTGTGCATTTACTTATATTATTATTTAGTCCGTCTGCATTCAATAGAAAGCCTATAGTAATTTAGGATTATCTTTATCGGCAATATTTTGTTACAGAATACGGTAACAATCAAATTATTCCGAAGCATGCACCTTCCTCAATAGCTGGACAACAGCAAAACCAAATGATTTGCAAACTTCTGAAAGGACAAGGCGGAAGTGCTAAAACCAGCTCGTTATTAGCGGCTCAATACGGCTGTCCATTGGCATCAAGTGGTAATCCGTTACTTTCGATTTTACAAGGAAACACTCCATCTTTGCCGAGTAAGTCATTTTATTTAATAGCAAAATATACTCACCCGGAATGCCTAGGGAAATTAGTCTTTCTATTTTCATTTCTGCCTCTGCCAAGTATGTCCATCAAATTTCCAGATCGTATACCACGAGTCGTTAACAAAGGTCGATCAGTATTGAAATATCAGTATGCTCTTGCTGTTACGTTCGCGGTATAGCTTTTCGAGTCATGGACCAGAATCGTTAATTCATATTCTCTTTGTTATGTGAAAGAAGTTAGCCCTGACATAGGCAAACCACGGCCCTCGGAACAAATCCGGCCCGTTGGGTAATTCAATCTGGCCCGCCTTATGCTGCCACAAAACCGAAGTTAAACCAAATTTTGAAGTTTTGGATGAAAAATAGATCGAGGAATTTGTTGAGACTGATATTAAATTTAGTTTTGGCACGAGGCTTATTGTTTTCCACTTATGCTTTTGTAATACTGTAAATATTGTTCATGAAATGTAATTTTTTACGTCACACTTACGTGGCCCGCCAGTCTAGGTGGGCAAAATTTTTAGCCCCTGGTCCAAAAACCTTGCTTACCCATGAGTTAGCCTGTTTCAGATAACTGAATACTTGAACACCCCATTGCTTTGTTGCTAAAATCATCATTCATTCGATTACAGGTCTTTTGAAATTGTTCGGTGGAGAAGTTAAGAAAAAGCCTGAATATAAAAAAGGAGCTATTATTCTCGGTGAGTGTCACTAACATGATGCTAGCTTTATGAAATAAATTTCCAACAGTATTAACTCAAACTACTTTTAGTTTAGGTGCCATAAAATGTTAGATAGTTTTAGAAATAAATGAACTTTTATAGCGGTGTGTATTTACAAATCCATTTTTATAAATCAATTGACTTCATGGAAAAAATAAATTGCCGATGATTGCTAGCCTAAATAATTTGTCCAAATGTCATTGCCATGTGCTTTTGTGAATATAAAACTGCCATAATTGCTACAAGATTTTTCAATGCCCTCAAATAGCCTCGAAATTTAATGATTATTCTTGAGAATTACCACACTATTAGAAGCAAATTTTTTCAAAAGATCGTCTAAGTGTTCAATTTGGAATTTATTATTTGAACAATAAAATCCAACCTACCCTAAAAGCCAATGTGAGTCTTGCTTGTGGAAAATAAATAAAAATTTCTTTTCTATAAATATATATGAATGATTTATCTCTTCATATGGCGTGTAACATACAATTCTATCTTCACAGACGCTGTACCGTATGGAACCTTAAAACAATGCTGGGATAAAGCCGACGAATATGAAACATGCAAATATGCAGCAAACATCAATGTCAATAGAGAAACAGATTGTTTCAATATTGTAAGTTGCATTATGTTTAACTGATTCCAACTACTTCAGCAATGATCCAACGAATTAGAAAGCGATACCTTCTCCGCCACATAAATATAACGCGTAAATTCGGTGCTCTGTACAAAATCTTGTGGAGTGAACATGAGGAAACTTCCTAAATCATTTTTTTTGTTCACTCGTGGACAGAATATTGCATTCTCTAAAAATTTATAGCTATGTTGTCGCTTATCCGTATTGAAATTTCTGAAAATATATCGTTTATTTTATGAAGGTTTTTTCTTATGTACTGAATAACTTAAATCAGTTCAAACTTGACGTTGATCTCTTCATCATTTGTTCTAGGGATGTGTATACAAACGGGAGAGTGGACAATGCTTTAGTTGTCCTTTGATTCCAGCCAGTGCTTACCTTTTACAACAGACAACAGGTTTGTGATAGAAATTAAGTATTAAATAGTGTTTATCCTACAATAAATTTTCTCAAATCTTAAAACATCATATAATCTTACCAATACGCAACGCTATTTGGGATTTTTTTATTTTTTTTTTTAAATATTCCATATATTTTAAACTGGATAGTTTACTTTTTATTAATTATTTATTTCTATTTCTATTTTAGATACATGTGATGTAATCAGTGCCGACAGAGAAGAATGTCCTGATTTTAAAAATTTTCAATTGTCTACAATCATGTTTGCATCGCAAAATCCTAGTCCAAGCAGCAGTAGTAGTAGTTCGTCTCCCGATATTTCTTCGTATCTAGGGGGAAAAGGTCTAAGCCAGTTGACTAAATTGTTTGAAGGTGGTTCCTCATCATCGAACACAAATTCTGCCCTCAATTTATTCGGCGGTGGTGGGTTAAACCCATCATTGCTCAGTATGTTTTCGCGGTCTAGTTCAAATTCCGCTCCCGCAAATAATAATCCACCGCCCCCACCTCCACAACGTTCAAATGAACCCGGTGAAAGCTCTGATTTCGGAAGGAGAGTAGCACAAGAATCCCCTGGAGTAAGAAGTATGGATATCTCATCTCTTCTCCCTCTATTAGCTGGAGGAGGCGGATCATCAGGACTTGCTGGACTTCTTGGAGGAGGAGGAGGGGGAGCAGCAGGACTTGCTGGACTTCTTGGAGGAGGAGGAGGGGGAGCAGCAGGACTTGCTGGACTTCTTGGAGGCGGTCTTGGTGGTTCAATGGGTGGCGCGTTCGGAGGAATGGATCCTAAATTACTTTCAGCTTTGCTTTCAAAGGGTTCGTCCAAGCCATCTAGCTCTAGTGACCTCATAGCACTTATGTACGGAGGAAGTGGTATCAGCTCAGAAACTAAGAAAGTTTTGGCAGATGGATGCAAAAAGAAACAGTGCTGCTGGAAACCTGGTGGAACATTGGGCGGCACATGCTACTCTAAAGGTAAGAAAATATTTTCAGTTGTTAGAATAAAATTATCAAACATGCTTCAAATGCACGTATTAAAGTAAATCAATATACACATATCAAACCAATTTCTTTTAATGTATAAATTAATATACATCATACTGCGGTAAACATTTCAATTCATTTACAAACTTCAACAAATCAAAATCGTCAAATCTATATGAATCTATTGCTCACACATGGACGTACATAATCTTTTCTAATACTTTCATCAAAAAATTGTGAGGATTATGAATTCATAATATATATTATTTTTATGGGAATGAGATAACAATGTAAAATTCAAAATGTAATTATATTCATGTCATCTTACATATTTGTCTTTCTTTTATTAGGAAATAACTTCGCAAAAAATTGCATTCCGGAACACGATAGTGGAGATTGTGGAACTAGTCCTTTGAATACATTCGCAAGAATAATAGGTAACATTGTAGTGAGTTATGTTGCAATCTTAGAATATGCTTACTATAAATTGCTTATCATTTTAAGGTTTGGTTTTACTGCTGTAAATGAAAGTAATTCATTTTACTCCAAACATTGATCCCTATTTCTCCATTAGGTTTGGTTTGTTTCGAAATAAGCCAAAAAATTTCTGGTTCAACATGTTCCGAATTGTGTGGAGCTACTCACACATGATACTAAAATTTATAAATATTGTTTTGTTGAATCCAAAGTTCTAATCACATGTTCTAATAAATACTGGTAAAATTAGGGCCTTGATTTTGAGTCTGGGCTTCTGTAGTCTCCTATGATTAACCGTTTTTATGCTGAAATTATTTTGTTTTTTATACATTACAGGTGGTTTCGACATTACATCTAATACTCATCGACCTTGGGCAGTTGTTATCAAAGCAGCTGGAAGCTCAAAACTTCGATGCGGTGGAACATTGATTTGTTCGTAAGTGAGCTATTGTTTGAGAAAGAAGTAGAAATTATATGTACATTATTGCAACATAATGATAAAGCGAATATTGATGAAAAAATGCGCTTAACTCGCTGTCTGTGCATCTGTTGTGCCTTCCTATTTTATTAATTTTATGATAACTTGGTATTAAATTTTGCACCAGTTTTGTAGACGTAGGCTACCTCATTCTTTAAAAAACCATCCTGTCCGAAGAAGGGCCGAAATATGGCAAATTTCATTTTTGATTGTTTGGTGAGAACGGGACAGTTTTATAAAATTATTTACGAAAAAAAACGAAAATTCATTATCTTAAAATACTTTTCCTTATAGAGAATGGGTTCTGACATCAGCTGCCTGTCTCTTAAGAATCAAAAGCATTGAACACGATTCACTTTACGTTCCCAAGTAAGTATATATCAAATATTTCAACATATGATATAACTGTAAAATAAAGCAAAATGACAATGATTATGCCTTTTAGTACTTTAATACTTACTACAATATTTTATCCGGGGTTTATGTAGCAAAAACTCTATATTGTACACAGTAATTTGGTAACAACGATAATGTACAAAATATATTTTAAAAATAATAATAATTATACGAAAAAATCTTGTTTTAAGCATTGATGCCCAAAGTTTGAATATATGGATTGGAACAACTGACCCAGTAAATCCAGCTGACACAGGAACTCATGTTGGTAAGTGAAATTTCCATTCGGCCAATTCGACAAAATACACACGATTTTGCTATGACTTTGTCAACAATGCGACAAAACATGACAATAATATTTCTTCTCAGATGTAATCGAAATCATTCCTCATCCACAATACACTGGAAAAATACACAACGATATTGCACTGATCCAAATAAAGCAGCAGATATTCACGGACGAGGTAATTTTATAATTCTATCTCGAACTAGCAAATACACCACAACCAATTAGGCTTGCACGTAATTGACAAAAATCAATTCCGTAATTACGTCCAAATCGATTACGTAATGACCCCGTAACTGCGATATTTTTTCACACATTTAAACCTATCATAACAACCAATTGGATCCACTTCATTTTCGATTGGGACATTGAGTTTGGGTTTTCATATTCCTAGCAGTACTACACGCCGGCAATAGATGTTAAGACAAGAGTGAATTCAGATTAATTTTATTCTGATTTTTATCTTTTGTGCTAGCTTTGATTTCCTTCATCACCTTCGCAAATTAACCTTCCAAATTTTATGCGATCAATTTTATCATTACCGATACTGGTATACGGATATTTATGAAACGATAGTTGACTCTTTTAAAATCGTATTAAAAAAATGTCGGGTTTCCAATTTATCAATGCCACGACGAGCGTATTCTCTCGTTTGATTATACTTGCGTTTGCCTCGCGACGAAGACTTGTTATTGCACCGTTTTTAACATTATTCGACTTTACTATCTAGTCAGCATTTTATAATAATAATTGATGCCGACTTATTGACGTTATTCCGATTACCATGCTTCATTTTACATTAAATCATTTCGCGGCCTAAATGTTGTAACATTATTTGCAACAAATTTAGATCAAATATTAATTATTTGCGCATAATTTAAATACCGTACTTATATGACATGGCTTTTCCGAAAATACAAAGTTATATCGCAAAAATATGCATGTTGTGACATTTATTTTGCACTCACGAAAAAATTAACTTATTTTTCTAACTCAAGTCGACGATCCTATCGGCCAAGATTGACACAAATTTGGTCAAGTGTCGGTGGTATTCAAGAATCAAAATAAGTTGCCGCATTTGGTAAAGACAGTTAATCATATTTGGCCGAAATATTGCGAGGCATTGTGGAAAATATATTGAGCAAGGACAAGTCCGAAATGATATAAAACGATAAAACCGGTAACAGAACATCAAGGTTTTGTAATTGAAAATGGTTCTCGTACAGAATAAACACACTGGCTCATACTTGATATTTGATAGTAGTTAAATTAGAATATTGAACTGTTAAAAACAAAAAAACAATCGTCGAAATTCTTAAATCTCGTTGCCTTGGTTAAATATAATCCAACGATTAGGACATTTTCAATTAAATACTGCACAAAGATAGGTATACATTAAACATTTAGGCTACAATTCAGCTTTTTTTTTAAATTTCAATCATGCATTGTGGTGGAGAAATCCCACTATTTAAATACGGGTAACTATAAAAATAGAATCGGATTCTGGATTCGATTTAAGTATTCTAAAACAGTGGTTCCCAACCGCCGGTCAGCGGACCGTCAACGGTGCGCAAAGGATTTTTACCGGATCGCGGGAAATCCCGTCATATTGTTGTTTCTCTGCCGTCTCAATCGCTTTACCGATGCCGAAAAGACGAAGTTGCGTTGGTTCATTACGCAATTTCTCTTTCGTGGTCATATTGCTGTTTGATAAGCGCGATATTAATTATCACGGTGACGTATTGGCAAGAGAGAGAAAAGTGAGAAAAACGGCTGCAAATACCGGAGCTCTAACTTCTTCTACTTTCTAAACTTTCACTTTTTACAATCGACGGAATTGACTGCTTTGAAGAGAGCTGTTTCAATCGCGAAAGCGCTCGACCAATAATTACGACTTTACGTAATTCGTAACTTCCTTTCCGTAACTCGAAATAATTCCGTAATTCCGTAAATCTGTAAATTACGTGCAAGCCTACAACCAATAGTCAACAACAGAAAGAATCTTGGTTTACTCAATCTTCAATATTTTTGCTGCTCTCCAACTAAGTTGAAAACCAAGTGCAATTGACCAAAATTTTTCCATTTATTTACCTCGAGGTTCTTGTCAATTTACGTTTTCTGTAATTTTTTGTACGAATTCGGATATATAATTAAAAATAATAAAACTGATGCCTACAAGCATCATAAACTCTATATTGGTAGTATTTCATTTTCATTCCTACTCGGCAGAAAAAACCAGCATGTCTACCACTGTTATCCGAGAGGAGTCCTGCAGTTGGAAATATATTGCGATTTGCTGGATATGGCGACTCAGGTTTGTATATTTTTAAATTATTAAATTATTCATTCTAATTGTCCTGATGGGAATCACGTTAATACGATTTGAGTGGACTGGTGCCATTTGAGGAAATTTTCCGTTCAACCAAGCCTTATAATTTCGTTTTCTGATATCCATCATTACACCAAATTTATATATATCCTAACCAAATCATTCCATATCCCAACTTCCATGACAGATAGCCTTGAATGCGACATTGATGTTATTTTAAAACAATCCCGTACGGAATACTATCGTTTCGTTTTGTCATTAAGTTTGAAATAGATGTTTATTTTATTTATACGCACAGGTAACGGTTTGGGCTATTCAACAATTTTGAAAGAACTCGACATGACTGTGACGTCATTCACATCTTGCGACCAGAAATTTTCAAACCAACTTCCAGACGCTGGAGTATTCTGTGCATCTTCAGCAACCGATACTGATACTTGTATTGTTAGTATTGTTATATTGTTTAAGTATATACAATATTGCATAAGCTATTTAACAATAATGGATGGGAAAATATCACAATTTCATGCCTTCGTGCTTGCTGAACTCTGAACTTTCAACTTGATGCATATATATATATCTAATATAATATCATTTTTCCAGGGGGATTCAGGCAGCGGCGCAATGCGATACGATGCGGAGAATGACATATTCAAGCTCGTCGGAGTAAATATCGCAGGATCTATCACATGTGACTCATCAAAGGTAATGTCTCTATTCCCGCGTTCAATTCTCCCTTATACAATGCCTTAGTACACGTACAGTACCGTTGGCGTTATCGAAGCCTGACTAACAACTAAACAATATGATATTTTTACAGCCTTCAGTATTCACAAAAGTGGCAGATTATATGCCATGGATTGCGCAGACAACAAACGCATGCTGCGGTAAGTCTAGTTCGGATAGTTGATTTTCAGAACTCGGGTCGATAATTCAGGACGGAAAGATGTTAAATGTTTTAGATAATACTATTCAAGCTACATTTATTTGTATACTAAACCCAATTCGTATTTTGATTAGTCGATAAATAAAAATATGAGATCAATCAGTTTATACCAAAGTAAAAACGAATTTTCCGATTTTTTGTTAGAAAATTTGTTTTCACGTAAGGTATGATGCTATCAAAATCTTTTTCAGTTACCTCATTCTTATAATGGTTTGCTATGTTATTAAGTTGTCAAGAAATATAACGCAGTTTGTAAAAGTCTGCGAAAGTCAAAATCTTGGATCGCCATTTTTTTCGAACAAGCCCAGAAAGCATACCATGATTAATTATTTAATTTTAATATATAATATATTTATTGTAGGCTCATTCGGAGGACGAGTGGCCTAATTTTTTGAAGGAAAAGAAGTAAAGCAAGAAGAAAAAAAAAAGACGGCCAATTAATAATTATTATTGAAATGATACTATTATTGCTGGTCATTTAATACGACCAAAACTTCTACAATATCTTCTGTTAGAAAGTTTCAAGCGTTTGTGCGCTCAAATATTTTCGGAAAGTTTTATTTAATTTTAATATTTTGACAAAACTTTTTTTTTTTTTGCATTTTATACCTCTTTCGTTCCATGACATATAAAGTAACTGCTACCTTATTGTGCCAATGAAATAGGTTTCGTTAGGTTAAAGTTGGCCAAAATGGTGATGAATATGCGTAGTGTGCCCGTGATTATATATATATGGCTATTTATATACCAATATTATATGCATAAATGGCGCTTAGTATATTAGCAATGGCCATCAGCAATTTTGATGTTTGCCAACTTGTCTTAAGAGGCGTTCACAGTACCCTATTTCCGTATAGTGATTTCCAGATGTGTGTTTTTGTTGTATATTGTTTAGGGACATAAGACTAGGAGGGCCGTTGAGATTTTGTGTTTGTTTGATTATTCAGCCTATGTGCGAAAGCAAAATTATGTTTGTTACAAATTCATGCATTGTAATATTTTTTGATGATGTGTGTGCTGTATTTTGTATATTTTCACCAAATAAATGAGGATATATTAAATTTGAGTAATTTTTACTGTTATTTTGTGTGTGTGCTTGGCTTGAGGGGACTTTAAAAACAACATTCTCGCATAACCGCTACTAAAGTTTTTGCGTTGTTATTTCTTGTTCAATTACGAATTCGTGTTTTTACTTGATCAAAACTGTAAATGACTACATATTGGAAGTTTACAAATACTGATGACGCGTGGCCATATTTAGCAACATATGTAATACTTGGAAACTATTAGGGTTTTTAACTTCGTGATACCCTATCCGCGTAAAAATATTTCCAACCTATGAAATCAAATACAACGATATCGATTTTATCAGTGAGATGTTTGTCTATCTTTACATTGAAAATATGACAAAATAATAAATATCTTGTATATTTCCAAATGTTTATTTTCATATTATTAGTTTCATTAAATCATGTATCTAGTCCAACAACCCTTGTCCCAACATGAGTAGAAAAATCAAGAAAACAAGAAATGAAAAGAAAATAAGGCATGAAAAGATTTAAAGAAAGCAAAAAATATAGAAAAATAGTTGAATTTATCAATTTAAAACCAAAACTTGGTTACAGTATTCAAAGGAAATTCTCCAATCGTGGCAAACAACGTTAGTTTTGATATTTTCTACTTCTTGTAGAATAGATATAACAATGTACTCGTGAAAATGTGAAACAAATACGACATAAAAAGACAAAACGATGCTGTAGGTAGGTTACGCGGGTGGTCGAATTACTGGGACATACCATAAAATTATTGAACGCTACTGATTGATAAATCCCAATAGTTCAAACCATTGAAAGTAACTAGTAAGCTAATTTCAGGGTATTTAAAATCGAATTGTTGCTGCTATTGTTATATCGATCCCCATTTTATAGAGTAACGTTACTCAGTTGAAAACGAAAAATCCGCCGGTGATGACTACCGGTACTTGTTCAGGTTTAATATAGTTCATTATTTGTTATTTAATGTTTCCATCTTTTTATATTAAGCGACACAGTTCAGAAGACAATCATCTTTATTATTTCGAAACATCTCTTCTTCGTATCCTAGTTCAAGAAGTCGTTTCCCAAATATTCCAATGGTGCCTAACAGGATAGCAGCAATGAAAACGTATAAGAGGAAATGATCGAGCACCATAGCCACATATTTCCACTCAATTTGTTCCTAAAAACGGTAATAAATCAATGATATTAACCAGTAATAAATAAACTAGGGTTTACAAATTTGAATTATTTGATATTACAAACGATGAGATTCCAGTTCTCTTATTAAAAAGGTAACATTAGTGAACACTTTAGTAGATCCATGTCTGCAAAAATTTTGAACATTTCATAGAAAGTATACAAGTTACCATAATATGAATACGGGACCAGCCAAGTGACTTCCGTAGTAATTGTACCTGGAATTATGGCCTAGCCTTAACCTGGTACACATGCTATGTTACGGTGTCCGCCATCTTGTTTCACATATTACGGGAGTAACAAGTTCATAGCATTAGCTTATCATGTGAAATGTCGACAAGTGCTCGTATATATATTACATCGGAGATCAATAATTACAATGAATTGTAAGTACATTTGTTACTATATACATCATTTGTAATAAAATGATATCGCTAGTGAGCAGACTTACCTTATAACTTTCTTCTTCGTCTTTAAAATGTTCAGCTACCAGTTGAATCCCTTCTATTGCTTCCTTTGTATCTGGATTCAACAAGACTCGACCATCAGATCCTTCACTGCCAGATATATCTTTGAAAATGAAGAAAAAAAAAATAGCACAACTTACATTGTATCTCAAAAAGTTTTCATTGTATTCGAAAGTGTTTTTTGAAAGCTTTATTTTATTGGAATGAGAATTTTAGTTTATATATATTTTTTGCGTGTTGCAATTATATTTTACGAGAACATAATCAAATTTATGTTTTTATAAACGGAAAATTACCTGAAATTTCATTGTAAAAATTTTTTTTCGACTTCATTTCTTCATCATCAGCAAATGGATTCATTTTCTTTATGGTTGAACTGAACATCATTTTTGGAAGCAATACTATAAAAACCTAAAAATAATTAGGTGGTGAGTTTTTTCAATGGCTTGAAAATCTTGTAAGAGAATTTAAAATCAAATCAATCAATTCGAATTATCAAATTTGGAATTTTCCTCAATGCCAAATACTAATATCCAGAATAGGCAACTGCTCATTGTTATCGAAACTTTTAGGTTAGTTTGATTATAATTGAATCTTTAGCATTATTACTGATATTTAGAAATAATCGACACATAAAAACAAAGGGGTTTGCTCAAGCCCGATAGCCAAAGTTCATTAAAGATTGTATTTAATATTATAGAAAAGTGTTCCCGTGAATAAAAAGATAATGTTAAAATTTTGGGTTAATGATCGGGATTCAAGACCCCATGGATGTTCGAAAACAAAGTAGCCTATCGGCGACTTTTTCCATCTTCGAAATCGATTGGTCTATTAGTTGCCAAAAATGCGATCATTCCCCAAAAAAATTGACAAAAAGATAAATTTCTTTGTTCAAATAACATTTTGTTAACTATAAATAAAGCATATTCAGAAACTTTGGAAAAGCAATTTCAAACGAACCTTTTTTACCCAATCCGGCATTGTGTGAGTAGAAGGTGTCCGATAATGAACATTCAGAACAAACACAGTTATAATAATTGATAGAGTAACAAGAATCATAGTGAATAAAATGTACTGCCCAAGCAATGGTACACCTTTTGCTGTAGATGGAATAGCTTCGACTAAAAGAAAGAGAAGAAAATTAGAGAAGGCTTGGTTTTTAGAAGTAACTGAATTCAGAGTAAACTACCTAATTGATTTACTTGTCAATATGGCTAACAAACTGGGTAGACAGACCATCACAAGACACTACTTTGTGAAATCGCTCCTATCACTAATCCATGCCTATCCTCCATTACTTACAGAGTTTGCGAAGTTGTAGTCTATTCAAATGAGTTATATTGAATTTGGAACCATGCTTGCTACATAAACATGCACAATAGCTACTCTCCGTGACACAAAACAAAAACCTGACACACAGTTCAAACAACGCCGGAAAATATATGTTCCTACCGCTGTGTACCACATTCAATTAAACTAATAATTATAATTCCATCGAATCTTCATGAAGTTCTCTTGAAAACGAGGAATGTATACGGGCCTTGTGCGTTTTATAACTTTACCAATCGTATATCAGAGTACGTAATCGCCAGAAAAGTCCTGAAACAATCTTACCAATGACGAGCAGGAACACAACCAGTGAGAGAAGTAGAGAAACAGAAAGAGTCATTTTTTCTCCGGCATCAGACGGAAGGTAGAATACAGTACATGTCAGAAGAGAGAACAACATAGTCGGAAAAAGAATATTCATCATAAGATACAAAGGTCGACGTTGAATGACAAAATGATACGTCATGTCCACGTAAGGCCCTGGAATTTAGAACAAAAACTTACAGAGTATAAATAGAACGTTCGTTTTATTGCTAACACACAACTCGTCACATTCATTTTAATTTTGCCTAGTGATTAATTGTTCGTGAATATATTTAAAATTATAGAAAAATGTATAATTAGACATTCAACTGTCATTAACTGAACATGGCTGATGCTAAGCGTTCCAAATTGCTACGTTTTGTCTGTTATACCATTATATATACGAAATTGAAATGTATATATGGTGCATGCCATAGTATTGCAACAAGAAAACCCAAGATTATGATTGTATTTTATAATCTTATTTCTTGAGTCTAAAATACTCACTCCTAATATTATATTAAAAAAATATATTACCGATACAGCAAGTGTATTGAATATAATGCTTGTAGCATCCTGTTGATAACATCTTCCATTCTCCGTTTTCGTTATAGTTTTCTATGTCAGGTGATTCACACTTGTGATTCCTTTACAAAATAAAAAATATTTTATGTATCATTTATAGCTACGATAAGCTTCTCATGCTTAGTCACATGGACATTATTGAAACTGTTATTGAATTTGTTTCGCCTGAGAGCAGAAATATTTAGGATTATATACTTATTGTAATTGATTTAATTGTATAAATATTTATTTGTAAATATTGTATAATATGTTAGTATAGTATTTTTAATTCGATTCGATTCGATGACCTATGGCGCGAAAGAATGCTGAAGTTACAAGCGCCATAAAACATATATATAACAACAACAAGCTTCTCATGCAAACTGGGATTTACTTTCGTTTGCACCTTCTCATCCGTTACATTTCTTAAGTATCGTCTTTGTTAATGCAAACTAATATATTGCTGTTTGATGGCAGCCGAGTATTACATGTAAATGGTTAATGCTATCCGCGTCTATTCACTATTGAATATAAGCCGATTACAATAGCCACAGCATATGCCAATTCAGTAAAGTGCACAGATATGTCAACCAGTTTAGGTACTGATTTTTACTTCGCTATAGAAATTATGATTTCCAAATGCTCTGGGGATTGGATTTATAATCGTCTGGTACATCAACGTCATAACTTCGTTGTTCTTGACGTATTTTGTCTGAAAGTACCAGCGTGGTTTTCGCTATTCGGATACCATACAGAGATAACTTTCATCTGTTGCCTTTGACCTATTTTATATTTACCTATAATTCAGATATTGACCGGGATAATTTAACATTTAACCAGGTGTAATGGCAGAATAGTAACTTTTGGTAACTTGAATTATAATTTTATCTACCAAAAGTGCCAAGCATCACACGTGATTTTAAAACAATGTAAGCCTACTTTTCCTTGTGGCAATTTCATTAAAAGTAAGGAGTCACAAAATTCGAATATTAGTTTCTAATATATATATCGAATTATGAATATTGTGTGTATAACTATGACGCATCAAAATATATGAGTCAAATTTTTCTTGATTATTAAAAACTAATCCACACTCAAACCAATTGCTTTACTCTACATATAAAATGTAATTTGAACGAATAACTTACATAACTTCACCATCTGAATTGACCATGTCCAATAAATCCTGACCAGATGTCCAAGGACCAATTTTCATAGTACAGTTTTGAGTATCGAACGGAAAATTGGCAACCTATAATAAATTGAAAAATTGAATCTGACTGGTAACAATTGGAAACGGAGTGAACCATGAATTGTTTTGCTAACCAAATAATCCTCTTTGTATTAAACCTTTCAACACGTATAATTTAATGTTTTAGTATTGAAAAATGGAAGCGTCGATAGAAGAGTAATATTTATAAGGTTTTTTCAATCTCGAATCCCGTCAACTGATCAATTTGACTGAAGAAACTATAGACACGATGATTGTACCTGTACAGCATTTGTGTCAATATATTTAAGCATTGTTTATTTATGAAATAGCAATTTTAATGATTATAAATTGGAACAAATTTGCAGAGGTAAACTACGACTTTCAGAAAGATTGTTTTTGCATCCGTATAATCCGAACCAAACAAACTTCCAGAAACGAATTTACCACAAGCATTGAATCAGTGAATAACACAGATAGCTACATTTACATCTGAATAAAACACATTTGAATTCTTTTTATCGTTATATTTATACTCACTTGAATTTCACAAAAGCTGCTAAATATCACCGGCGGCTTCCAGTCAATAGTGCCGTTTGAATAAACCTTTGCCTTTGTAAAATCAGTAACAGCAAAATCTCCGTCAGCGCTAAGGTGATTAATTTTATATCGTTATGTTCAATTTATAGTTGTTCTGTTAGTAGGCTACGTTTATTATGCATAACAGGCGTTTCTGCATCAAAATGAATAATTATCCAACGACTCATAGACAAAATATCCATTTATGTTTGGTTCTATTCAACAATATATAGTTTTTGTTCTAATAAATTCAACATAATCAATTCATTTCTAGAATTTTGAAATGCATAATGAAAGGCAAACTAACTTGTTATATAAAACGAAGACGGGTAACCATAAGTCTTCAGTTGGTAGATGAACATATTGTAGACCTTCATACTCGTCAGGATTCCACTCCAATCTGCTGTCAGTCCAACGATGTGAAAGCCATAATTTAGTTTCGATTTTCTGCGAAACCTCACTCTGGAACAATTGTTTGTTTTTTATGCCGTACTCAAAGTTTGTTTTGTGTATGCTAACATTTTGCAGCCAACTAGCCAAATATTGTGATTATGGTCAATTAAAATTCCAATTGAAAATTTATAAAATGCCGAAATTTTCCCGAACCGGGTGGGCAGATGCTTTTATATCAACGCCAGAACTTGTACATGAGTTTGTTCAAAAGAATAGGATGGGTTATTTTGTTATTTTTTTGTTTGTTTTAGATGCATGGGTTTAATGGCGTGGAAAGCCTTAACTGACCAGCGGTTACGTAAACTATACACGTCAAAAAATCCAGCCATCCTCGCGCACATAGTTATCCCCCGTGGGAATCGAAACTGCGAACCCGCGCAGGGTAATGAGAGGTGCGATCTCAAGCTCGATATAACAAAGTAGGCTCGGTAACCATAAATTGCGCACAATTCTTGCATTATTCTCCTTTTATTAGTTTATAAGCTTACCACGTCCAATAATTGATTTAAATGGAGTTTAAATTTGACCCGAACACTTTCGCTGAATCCTTTAGCAGGTCGTACTCGTTTATCATAATTTCTCATCAAATCCTTTGTAATGTTATTTCTCGAACCGCCAAGTACCGAAGAGATAACAACAAAAATGACAAAACCTGTTCAATAAAATGAATAATTCTTGTAGTATCACTATTTTTTGCAAGTAGCAAAAATAATAAAACAAGATTAACTTTTGACTAGTTGACAAATATATATAACCTATAGGTAATTTATAGGAACAATCATATTCAATAACCCAGAATGCATATGACGACAGCGGATTTGGCGAAGCAGGACCATTACTGTACCCAAGAAACCACGATGTTATTAATTTTAAATCATTGTTAGTCTTATAATAATAAAATTTGAGCAGGCTGCACTCATGAATTAAAACTAAATGAAAGGGAATCAGAACGCTTGCAAATAAGGGTTCTTCAATACGATTATTCATACTTAAATAGAGAATAATATTACCATATCTCGGAATGTAGAATTAGGTCACTCATGGTTATAGATTCAAAATTGAAAACTATTTAAAAAATAATTGAATGCCAAACTTGTTCGGATATCACGATTACAATGGAATAAAAAAATGTGGTTAAAAAATCGGCGCTTCTAACCCCAAGGCTATTTATTGCTAAATAACCCAAGCGTATTCTGATAACCACCGGGAACAAAAATGATAAATTCGGAGTTATAGTTTTAAAAAAGGCTGCAAATTTGAAAAAAATGGGTACTAAAATTATGTCTTTCTCGAACGTTGTCTTCTTCTCGAAATAAGTGTAACTGTTTTATTCTTATGACAAACATATCTCTTTACCGTACCAATAAACATAATAATTTACCAATAAACATAACGGTGCCAAGTTGCATAACGATTTTCATATAAAAATAGAAATACAAACCTTGCACAATTCTTCTGACCATCATATTGCCAACTTATGTGTTGAGCTTACAACTACGGTATTTATTCAGTCGTCAATAAATGGAAAGCACATTTTAAAATCAAACTGAAACAGTAGATTGATATCCAACAGATTTGTATATCTAAGCTTGTCTATATGTTGAACGTACTATAGTCAATATGTGCTCTGTATATAGTAAAATATATTTATATATAAAGCTCTGCGCCCACTTACTCATGAAGGCTACAAAACTAAAAGCAGGTATTCAAAGTGAACAAAGCTATGGCAAAAAAAACATGTGAATAACCAACTCTAAAACTTTCCATTTTCAAACTAAACTGTTCTACTTTGTGTCATCGGTAATCAAATTGCTGTTTGCCCAATCTGCATGAGTAATATAAAAGTTCATCCAGCTGTTGTTGCTCTGTTCTGTTTGACCATCGCTTGAACTTTTATCCCAATCTCGATTACCAAGTAATGCATGTACACCGAACATCAAGAGAAACGGTTTCGTTCAAGTTTGCTGAACGATCATAACAATATAATGTACAATGTACGCCCTAAACTGTTAGAGTTTCGTTGATGCCTTTTCTATACCTGATTTAAGAAAGATTTGATGGGCTATCACAATTTTAACAGGCCTAACACTCTTTTATACAGTTTGGCTGCAATAGTACATCGAAGTGTTAATGATCTTCATCTTGAAAATATGAAAATCCTGCCCTATTGTAGATTGAGTCAAACAATAAATTTTTGCTACCTGCTTTGTTATGGTTACCTTAGCTTTTATATAAATGACTTCTGTATGACTAGAAAAGTACTGTGTATTTATTATCTCCCCGGGGATTTATGTACCTTGTTGGCAAGCTTACTGACTCGAATGGAACAAAGATCCATGAAATCTCTTAGCTGACAATGAATTGTCGAAAAAAAACTTTAAAAATCGATTAGAACTACATCGATTACTTTGAATCCTATGGCGGTAACAACGATAGTCAGTCGGATTCAGTCTATCTATCATCTGCTATTTTAGTACAACGTTGCTGTGAGGTGAAATGTTTGAGATAACGAACGACGTTGAAACGAACTTTTGGAAGCAGCTGCATTTGAATATCGTCGCGTCAGAATTCTCACACGCCTCGTCGCTCTCAGGCGGCCGATATAGATAGCGGAAATTCATAAATTGACAGTGTCATCAGTGGGATATATTCACACGTAATAGACTCAAAAGTGCTACAATCGGATATGATATCGTTTTAATAGAAAGAGTCATAAATTAATATCGATAAAATGGCATCTGCTTGATTGTGATATAGCATATCCATATTCAGTCGGTCTGTGCCGAACCATGAAGTTACAGAAAATATGCTATGTAATCTATGGGTATGAGCCTGAAGAAAAGCTCGAAATCGCAGAGTACCCAGTTCACCGTGTGGTGTTTATGTCTAATTCTTTGCCAGACAACAACAGTACTTTATCAATGGAGCAAACCCACCGGAAATCATCATAAGGTTGGATGGTGGAAATTACCCTCTCAAAAGTCAAAACCCCATAAGAAAAATACACTGATGAAGCGAAAACTGCTAAATTGCTATAATTCATGTAGGGTTTTGTCCGTTGCATGGCAACGTAAAACTGGAAATACCCTAAATTTGCCAAGTACTACCCAACTACTGGCTACCGTCAGTGTAAATCACTCGAATAATGTTATATGTGATAGTTGTGTTTGGAGATCCAAAAGTAGCCTACCTTACGTGCTCGTAAACGAGGCTTTTCACGAAGTTTGGCGAATGGGGCCCCTGATCTTCAGAAATTTCCCATCCTCTACTAGTCTACTTCATTCAATATTTGGGATGTCATAATAAGAGTTAACTTTTGTATATTAATACATTCAAGAAATCCATTGATGTCTATGCATATAAGGGGCATAGCCGCATATCCAGTTGTTGTGAGATTCAAAATTTCAAGAACGGGTTCTCTTTAGTACCGAACTAACCAACAACTGGTTCTTTCATTTCTGATAATACATGTATGTCACCGTGTACGCTTTATTACCATGACACGCTTTTCATAAATCTAATACACAACTTTTGATCCGACTTGTTGACTGTTGAGCGTCATAGTGCATTTCAAACATATCAATTTTATAAAATAAACCGCGATTTCATTCTACATTAGCCCACTCGTTTGTCCTGATTCTACCAAAAATGGCAATAAAACACACTTTATACAACATAAAAGATAATTTTTTTTTACAATAAAATGCTTATTTTAATTTCATTCAAAGATGAAGCACTCAGAATAGATGTACAACAGCATAAAGTAACTGAAGGAATTTGTTTTTTATGATCGTCCATTGTTTTCTACGATCTTCGCAATTTTCCACAAAGTGGAAGAATCGTCGTGGTTGACATTTGTTTATGAATCAATACAAAATATTAAATAATCCACTTCGATTGTAAGACCTATATGGGCTGATAATCGTCATTGATCTCTTGTGCCTGAAAAATATTGAAGAATTGGATAAAAGAACGGCAAAGTGACCTAGCGGTTGGGGCTTTAACAGTGTTGGCATCGCAAATTGCAGATATCGGGTTAAATCCCACGTCCACACCTCGGTATCTCAAGAATGTCGCGACCCACTTGTCCCAAGGTTATGGAAATTATTGAATAGGTGAATTATACCTGATTGAACTTTTGGAGCGGCAATTGGGACAAGCGTGAGACACGACATTTTTGACACACGTAAGGCGTAAATAATCATCGTATAAAATATAAACAAAAAAGCACTCCGGGAGCGTCGAAGAGCATGTTGTTTAAAAAAAACACGTTTTCATATGCTATTTTCATCTATTTTAGTTTGTTTCAAACATTTTATGTTTTTCAATTAGAATTACTACCTAAATTAACTTTTTCTAACACAATAATATTCTTAAAGACTTACTCTGTCATCTCTCAGGTTTCCGTCATCAATTGACGCCTGAAAACGTACGACATCGTTGTCTCCATCCAGCGTAAATGCGTCTTCTATATATTCTCTAAATGAGGAGAAATGGTTAATTTGAGAAGGTTCTCGTGTTTAATTTATTGATTCATGAGAATTGTTCTTTATCAAGAACATAAGTAATACACACAGCCAAAATTTTCTGTGTAAATACTTATTTGATATCTCTGATAATATTGAACCCAGTCAAATTACTGCTTCAAACATATAATTAGATGCCCCTATTTTCCAAAATTGCAAATCAGGAAAATCATATATTTTTGTTGAATTTTGATGTCCCCATATATTTCTATTCATTCAGCACATATTATCGGTGATCATTTCAGCGATGGTCAAAAAATATACATAGCGCCAATTTCGCCCCGTCCAGTCATAATCAAAATTACTTTCAGCTAGCAATGAAAAGGATAACACCGTTGGTTAAAACGCAATACGTTGTTGTAACATGCTTGGTTGTTCAAAAACTGTCAAAAAAAAAAATAAATTCAGATAAATATATGAATTTCCTAGTCGAACTTACTCGGCCACTCTCGATTTTGGATACATCTCTGATGTCAGAAGTCCTTGTTCCAATCCCTGATTATTTTCCTTTATTCTTCGTTTAATATATTCACTTAATACTGGTATAAAATATAACTGGAAGAAGAAATACAAAAAGTGGGGAATTTGAATCATTTCATTCAACAGTTCTTTTATGATTTTACAAATAATGAACTGTAATAAAAATCCACTTGCAGAGGCTGTTTAAGCCGATTCCAATAATTCGTCAAAATGCTTTAGATTACTTTTATGATAATTTTATATTTATTATACCTTATCACTTAGAATTTTTTAAATTAAATTGTCGTTAAAAAAGTCGTTTTCTGTACATGTTATGCAGAATTTGTTTGGTGGATCTTGATTAAAAAATGATTAACGTATTTTAATGTTGTATGTTAATATTTCATTTTATACTTACATTTAAAAGCGCGTAGAAGACAAATACAACCCATACGATCCAACTTATTCCTTGTCCAGAAACATTTCTGCTTTCAATATCAACATAAGCTAATAATCCTAGTTGCAAAAGAAGTTGAATGATGATCGCGAGAATAAAGGCTCTTCCAAATAGACGAACAAGAGAAATAGTTCTCTGTGAAAAAATTAACCAAGATGATATATTTACTTTTATTAAATTTTATTTCTGTCGGGATAACAAAACATATTGAAACAACAATTATACTCATGATAACATTAATAAAACTACCTCACAAAGTAATTTTAATGAAAACGAAATTGAGAACATGTCTGCACTTGAAATTAAACAAATGAACAATGTTCAAATATATGGACACAAAATAAATCTCAAATCGATGTCTCCATTGTTTGAAAAAAACAGCAAAATTTCGAGTGGAACACAGAGCCGGATAGTCCACATATAAAATAAAAGTAATAGCTTTTTAGCGACTTCCATCTTTAGGTGAGGAGAATTTGAAATAGGTTGATTCAGTAAGCAACAACAACAACCCAAAGCATCCCAAATAGTCGAACAACAACCACAACAATTTAGCCAAACGATTCATATACAGCATACTTGGCGTCCAATAATGATATCGTAAACTAAACGACGACGATTCAATTTTGTAAATTTCTGTGAAAATGGATTTGCAGCTGACAACAACAAAGTGCGAATCTTTAAAAAACATCTTCGTAATAATGTAATTATGAATTTTGTATAAATTGCACACATCAGACATAAATAATGTAGGTAAAAATTTAGGGAATGTTCACTATTATGTTATATACATTTAGCAGAAGAGATTAATAAAACTTACCCCTTCCACTGTAATCAACCATAAGACACTGAATATTATCATAATTGCTGGAATTGCGATGGATTTGTACATCATTGGTAGAGTTTCATCTATCACTGAAAACAAATTTAAAAGATAAGTCAATTCAAATCCGTCATGGCAAAAATGACAGCACCTAAGACAAACATATCGGACACAAATTTGCCAAAAAGTTGTGCCAAAAGTAGAAAAGTTGCCAAAACCTAAAATAGTATTTTAAAAGGGAGACATAAGAGCGCTACAATGTAAATCTCACCTAATAAAAGACTTAGTTATGGGAAAGTATTTATGCCGTGCAGACCGAACCATGATTTTGTTCCATACTGTTTCTATTCTACACTAAAATCTGTAAAACATTTTTCTCTTGAAGGCAAATGTAGATTTCACTCCTTGTAGTGTAGTTCGTGTGTGCACATAATTGGTTTCCAATTTAGTTACAATTTGGGAAAATGAGATGGTATTTATCTAGTCTTATTATTTGTCCGCCGCATAAAAAGGAATTGCGGATATGACAAGCCAATATTGGATCCATTCCCAGGCATAGTAACAGTATAAACTTGTTTCATGTCATTGTAGGTATATTACTGGCATCGAAACTAGCTGTAAAGTTTTTTGTCTATGCTTCGAATAATTGAAATCATCAGAATACTTGCACTTTGAGTTGGGTGTTAAATTAACATATGGTTCATACTTTTCACACATTTTTCCTCTCTCTCTGTGTGAACTAGTTAAGTGACCGTCATACTGCATAACCGGGGCATTTAGGTCTACCGGCCGCGTCGGTGGGACAACTTGCTGAAATCGGGACGTATGGTAAGCCTACATATATCATCAAATACACGTTGCGGCTGAATTGGGTATGTCGAGCAGTTCCGAGGATGACATCTCAATACAAATAACGGAAAATAAGATTATAAATAGCTCTTACTATTAGTAATATAATCTCTGAGTTTCGGATCCAATGCGGGAACTATGACTGAATCATTTTCTTGTGAGGGAATATTTACTGAAAATAAAGAATTCACACGATTATTATTATTATGGCAAACAATTATAATGCTAATTTAAAGCAAAGTCACCCACAGAAAGAACACGGAAACATAAATACTTACCACTTCCTTCAAATTCATCTGGATCTGGCCTGGTATCACTGTATGAATATTAATATAACCATAGTAAATATTAATGAAGTTATTACACAAGTGAAGTGAGTGAGTGGGGTTGGTAGCGTGATATACATATATATACTGTACAGTCAAAATATGCATATGCCGCCAACTGTATATACATATACAGCCAGTGTCATATGCATATAGTATAGAATAGAACTAACTTGGCGGTACTGCATTTTCTTGGCTGTATATGTATGGCACGTTACAAGCCCTATCGAGTAAAATTATACATAATATCGAACGATTGTCATAGTAATGTTGATGATATCATATAATTTTTAGTAAAAACCATTTTTATAGCTCAGTCCACAGGTAAAAGAAGAAAATTATATTGATACTTTGTAGTGGAATTGAAATTCGTAATATAGTCATATCAGTTTACCAAGTTTGTTTTTTGTTTCATTGCGGTTTTATATTATTATATATATCGATCATGATATCAGTGTTTCATGACATTTTTAATTGCACAGGCACACTGGCACTAACGTTATATATATTATGAGATACATCGTGTTCCCCCGAAAATAAGACCTAGCCTGAATTTTAAAAATGATTTTACTATTGGTCCTCCCCTTAAAATAAGACCTAGTCAATACCGCGAGGTTTTTTTGTCCCCGTTACACGTTTTAAATGATTGATAATCTATGTTTTGCAGTTGTTTTGAATAAGAACGTGTTATTCATGAGTAAATGGATATCGGTTTTCATAGTTTGTATATTTAAAAATCTCGTAATTCTCTACTTTTTAATTTTGTTTTTTATAAATAAAAATACAAGACATCCCCCGAAAATAAGCCCTAGTGTTATTTTTCGAAAGAAAATTGAAATAGGACCCAGTCTTATTTTCGGGGAAACACGGTAGTTGCAAAAAACCTTTTGGCGAAATGTAATTTCGTGAGAACGTAATTTTATGCCATTGCGAACTTATGATAGAAGTCATATTTAGATAAATATTTTGTTATCTATTCCAATGACAAATTTATAAATTCTTCACCTAAATTCTGTAGGTAAATCCAATCTTTCATCCAGCATATTTCTCAACTGTGTCATTGCGAGAATCAGCATGCCCGCATAGAACGAGTTGAAAAGCTGAATAAAACAAACAAAATGTTACGACTGGAATGTCTCCGTTGGACTTCAAACAAGCGTTTACTAAATTTGTTTTCAATAGTAGTCTAATTATTAAAACTAGACATCGTCGAACTATCCGTATAGAGACTGGCAATGAAAAGGTACTGATCTAAATCAAAGTTGGTAAAGGTAATGAAAGCCACCAGAAGTGGTATATACATTCGCTAAATATCGAGTTTTGAAGGCTCCGGCAATCGTCATGTGCATTTACAAACAATACAAAGTTCAGTTTCGATGTCATATCGCTTTTTTGAATGTTTATGCATATTTGTTTCGAATGCTGTATATAGCTATGCTAAGAAAGCGGAGTGAAAATAGAGCGAAGAATACTTACAAAATTAAACCATCCAATCAGTGAAGCACCGGTACGAATTGAACAGCAACAACAGAATCTTTGTTGTTCTGGCCATCTGACCCAGGCAGGGGCAGGAATACTTTGTTGAATAACATACCAAGTGCCTCGTAATGGCATTATACTTAGGATTTATGAGCTGAAAATAGTGCCATATTAACCAGTCACGAATATATAAAGACGAATCCTTGAAACTACGTACCACTTTATGCCTACGCTCTATTGTTACCTCTCTGAAGTAACTGCTTTCAGCTGGCCTGAACGTGGTAAAATTTCAGTACATTCTAGAAGTTAGTAAATTTTAGTCAGCTTGACAAAACTGAACTTGAACTCTAATAGGCCTACCGTTTGGCATCTGCAATGAATAATAATTCATCTTGATTTACCAGATAATATATTTGTTTTGACTATTACTGCTTTAAGGTTATACTGTAAAACAGGCCTAGTCGGCACAAGCAACAATACTGCGGTACAATAATACCAATAGGTGCAAATCCACAGCGCATTTATTCTCATTAAATTTTGATGTCTCGCGAACTCGGTTAAAAATATTTTCAAAGGTGAAACAAGACCCGAATCACTAAAATAAAACGATCATTCGAATTATTGAACCATGTCCAATCTGAATATTTAATACCTCGAAACATTTTCTGATGCTAGTTTCAACGTCAAAATATATCCCTGATAACTACAGTCATGGTTCTAAATAAGCATGGATAACACAAATAAACTAAACATAACACTAAAATGCACAACAAAGCTACTTTATGTTCTGACGTGGCAGCAGCGCCACCAAATAGAAACCACACTTGTACGTCTTGCTAAATCAGTCAACATCACGTGACGCTTCCAATCTATCCCCTCGGGCGTCCAAAGTCTACAGCCGATCAACGTTCGATTTTTAACTTTTTGTGCCAATCGGCATTGATATGATTAGTAGCGATCGAATGGCTATTCAGTGAACGTTTATTGATCCGGTGACTCGTTCGTTGTATAATTAAAAGATGCAAACGTCATTCTAAAATGAGTTTATTCTTAAATTCGAAGTGATGGGAATGAACAACAATCGACTTTTTATCATTGAATCGTTATATACTCATTATCCCACTTCGTTAAGAGATTTCTAAGTTTTTATTGGTCCCAGGAAAAGGTACCAAGTTTGAAAAATAGATCATAAAATAAAATTTTTGAATATGATTCATAGGAATCGATCACTTTACCAAGTTGTTCGACCATATTTCTTTTTGGTAGTGAAAATGTCCAAGATCTTTCGATTCGTTTGTATATTTCACAAAGCTAAAGCCTGCAACACGCGTGAGCACCATCGGAAAGAACATATATAAGAAACTTCAAATAGATACTACAATTGTGTCAAACATGCTGAAGCTGCTATTGAATGTTATACGTATATAGAGTAAGAATGAAACATTAACATATTTGGCGACGAGCAAATATATATAATTGCACCTTTTGTCACAACAATAATGGACTGGGAATTAAACAGTAGCATCCGTATATTTAACATTAAAATCGTTTTTTTTTCATTTATTTCACCAACGTGAAGTCAACCCGAGACAGAATTGAACGAAAAATGAAATTAATAATATTTACTTTGAAAATACAATCCTTCGCTTTCCCGATAATGCTATTCCAAAGATAACTTCAGTTCAAAATATCTTATTAAAATATTGAGCAACACTAGTAAACCATGCACTTCTAAATTGTAAATTCAGCTGCATAGACATTTTATCCTATAGTAGCATAAGTTCGTAAGGCATGAGGATATCTCCATGATATGTTAAATTTTACTATAGTAAATACCTCAATATGATTTTTTTCTAATCCTAGTTTGACGCAACCGGGCTTGGATATTGGATGAAGCAGACTTACTTTCTGAGCAGCAGTACACATATGATAATCGTAGCCTCTGGATATGCAAGTGGGTTTCGATCGCAATTTTCTGTACAGCTAAATAATACTTTTGAGGATTTCGCATGTTTTATGAAGTGACTTCAGATCGTTCAATTGTGCCAAAACGAAAAATGGATACAGAACAACTTCCTGTATTGGAATTGAACATAATGAAGTCAAACGCCACTTTGATTTAAGTAAAAATACAAGCGTAAGGTAATGAACGCTTAGTTTATCAACAAACATCGGATTTGGAAGTAAAATATAAAGATGCGCAAAATTGTTTGGCGGGAGCAAAGTGCCAAACGCCAAAGTCAAGTTGAAGAGAAAAAAAAACACGGCGAGACGGAAACTTCAAATGGAAACAAAATAAATGATAAAAGAGGCAACGCGATGACAAAATCGGAAATACCGTGTTCCCCCGAAAATAAGCCATGTCCTGAAAATAAGACCTAGCCTGATTTTCAAAAGTGATTTTAATATAAGCCCTCCCCTTAAAATAAGACCTAGTCAATAACGCGGAATTTTTTGCAGTTATTTTTGAATAAAAATACGCTATTTATAAGTAAATGAATATCGGTTTTCATATTTTGTATATATATATATATATTTGAAAATCTCGTCTTTCTTTACTTTTGATAAACGAAAATATAAGACATCCCCCGAAAATAAGCCCTAGTGTTATTTTTGAGAAGAAAATTGAAGTAAGACCCAGTCTTCGGTTTCGGGGAAACACGGTACGTGAGAGCGATTTGCATAGGGCTGGCAAAACCAAGAAAACACTTAGAATGAAGTTATGAAATAGTATGGAGTTAAAAAGGAAGAAATTGATACGAGCTAGAGACATCACCGATGTCATATACCGACGTATTGTTGGGGACGAACATAATGTGGATTCTCAAAATGAGCCTTAATGTAGTGGTATCTGGTGATCATGCTTGAACTTCAACAATTGCCACAACTTCCGCGAGTAACACCCTCCACCATAAAAGGTCAATTACGGAATTGAAAAACTATTCAGATGCTCGCGTTTGCTAATCATTACCGACTAACATAATAGTAAAGAGTAAACGAATGCGAAAGCAAGTTCTAGCGCACTGCATGGACAACCTTCCTTACTTCTATTACTCTCGAGATATTTTCTTGTCAGCAGTCTTCGAAAATGAGATGGGCCAACCTCCAGAGCAATGGGCGGACGAACCAAACTCATACCGCAGTATCTCACTACCATAACAAAGTGAAAAGTCAATAAAAGGACGCCCCGTCTGACGGAGAGGGACAAAAACAAATTTGTTGGAATTAAAAATTGTAATTGTATTATATTTAAAAGATCACACGATAACATACAATCAAACAATACACAATAAAAAAATAATTACAAATGCAAGAACCTGGTATCAATATCGTTGGTACTTGGTATATTTTTAGTGAAGTCTCGATCGACAGAGAGATCAACAAACAAGTGTGAAGTCATGTACTATATTTAATTTCTGATCAAAGCAAATTTTGAGAGATGAAAAATTCAAATCAGCAAAAATGTCCTGCTGGATTTTCAAATCAAAGAGGTATTTTAAGACATTAATAACCATGACGATCTCAATTTTTACATAAAGGGTCATTCAACACAATGCATAAATGGCGACAATCAGAAGATGATAACAATGTACAATCTAGTTAGATATTGAATTGAAATGGGAATCTTGAAGGAAAACGCTTAGCATGCAGTTGCTAGTTATTCTATCGACTATGAGGAGTGAACTTGAGTTCAGTGAAGGTGTTTGATCCTGTAATATAAATTCATCCCATTCAATGAGTATTGTTCTCATCAAGAGAATGTAGTTTAAAAAATATTGAGACAGCTTTCGTGAAGAATATTCTTGAAATTTAAGGATATGATTTATAGCAAACCATAAAAGAAACCCCAATGTAACAACCCTCTGGGTATTTAAGACAAGCATTAGGTAAATCATAACTTTTACACAATATAGTTTGCTATATAATTCCAAGGTTATTTACAAAATAAAGAAAAAAATCATTTGAATACAATCTACTAAACAAGAGATGAATGAAAATTTGAAGGCAATGGGAATTTAAAAAAAAACAAATCATGGCAAGAATCAAAACAGATGTACGTAATTTTAACAACAAATCAGAATGAAAATTAAAAGTCATGTCTATGTGAAGCAATGGATGTCGATAATGACAGGAATATATTTGGATACAACTTTCGATTGAATTTTTACACCATTTTTTCATGAAATTTTATTAAATGGAATATCAGATTTCATTCCTCGCAGTATTTATAATTTGTACTACCATATTTTTGAGGAGACCCACACAAGAAGGGGTAGAAGAATGGCCCAACTATTTCGTAGATTCTCTGTGAGGTAGCGTTTTCAAGATGGCTGCTAACCAAGACACATTTCGGCTCTCCCTAAAATACTAAAATCCAAGTACTCTTGAGAGCATTATTGGCAAATTCCTTATCTACCTATTAACGAAGATGACATTTAGGGTTCTAAAAGCTTGCTCATAGCCTATACCAGATATAGAGAAATATAACTGAAATAAGCTGAAATATTACAAGTAAGAAGATTAACTCAATCCAAAATTTTTTAATTCTAAGTTCATATCTTCCCTGTCAATAAATACTAATAACATTTCCCTTTTGGGAAAGGGTTAAAATAGAACTCCTACAGAAGAGTGTAGTGGAACATATACATTAATATAAAATTATGCTACTGAAAACAATTTCTAAGAAAAGATCAACAAACTTGCTCTATCACAATGTAACTGGTCTTAATAATGAAACTTGAATTACCCGGAAACAAAAGGTATAAATCCAACGTCAAGAAATTGGCAAAATTTTGGTCTGACATGCACTAATGATACTTTAATAAAACAAAGTAAAAAAGGTTCAAACTAAGCCCACTTGACAATGACCGTTTTATCACTATTTGGTAAACTTTAATATAAACGCTAACTATTGAATTCACATACATAGACGAGAAAAAACATGTGAAACAGCTTGCATGCATTTACAAACAATAGATGAAGTATAATATGCTAAGCCAAGTGAAAAAATTAAATGGAGATGGATGATTTCCAGGAGTATAGAATTGTTATATAAAATTATTTATTTCTCTAAAACATTGTGACAAATTGTTTTTCGAAGTAGAACATAGAGCAAAGAGGTGTTCAGGGATGTCCAAAAAAATTGAATATTCAAATAAATTAGAAATTTATTATATTCGATATAGTAAATTTTTGAATTTGGGATTAATTTAGTACATTTTTATTTGAAAATTAGGGATTTTGAGCAATCAGATTAGGTTACAGACCATATGTCAACTGATAAGAAACAAGGACTTTTTATACTTATGTCATTTTAGATGTGATCAACATGGAGATGTACTGATTTAAGTAATTTTCCACATGAACTTGCCCACAATTTTGAACATATTCAATATTTTATATTGAAAGTATTTTCCCAGAATGTATTCAAAATGATAAAATATTCGGTTTTGTCCATCCCTGGTAATGTTATATAAAGATATTCCCAGGAATCATTATCTAGTAATTCAGAAATTGAATATGATAGTGAAGG